CTCTCTGACAATGTTTAAAACCAGGTTAAAAACACTTCTGTTTAGCTGTGCTACAACTGAGGGATTTTATATTTTTTCACTTTCTTATTAATGTACTGTGATTATTTATTTGTGCTTTCTTATTTTGTTCAGCACTTTAAGTTGCCTTGTGTATGAATTGTGCTATACGAATAAACTTGCCTTATTGCCTATTTAGAATGTCTATCTTTAAACCCATTTTTCTCAGAATTCTGTTTCATAAAACCATGTTAATACGCTTACTTCAGATAATGATGTACTTTTGTTACAGACCTGCTATAAAAAAGCAGCTTTAAGATGGTATCAGAATCTTAAGTTGGTCAAATTTCACCATGTGATGGGTTTTCCCCATAGACTGTATATATTAACAGACAGTCATGCCAATCTCCGCCGTTCTAACTAATGGGCCAAAAAATGTGCCCTACTGGAGCAATCCAAAATGGCCGCGAGTGGTCCCGCCCACAAGAAAATTGTGAAAAGCGGCGAGAGCTCCATTCATTTGAACGAGTGACTTCAATATGTGGAACGGAGCTTTGGACCAAGAGCCAACTTTTGGTCCATCCTGTAAAGACGTTTTCGAGAGGTCTGCCAATGCTATATGTTAGCATTGGCTAATTCTTCTTCTGGGTCCACCCCATAGACTGTATATATTAACGGACAGAGTCACGCCTATCTCCGCCGTTCTAACTAATGGGCCAAAGAATTTGCTCTACCGGAGCTATCCAAAATGGCCGCGAGTGGTCCCGCCCACAAGAAAATTGTGAAAAAACGCATCTGCGCATGCGTCAGCCGGAGCAGCTCCATTCATTTGAACGAGACTTCAAAAATTCACAGCGAGTAAACTAGAGTGGACCAAAACACCCCCCTCAGCATTGACACACATGTGGAACGGAGCTTTGGAAGCTCAAACTTCCATATGGACTGAAGACATGCCACAGTTATTAGTTAGTCAGCCTGTGTCCTCTAGTCTCTACAGCCTGTGTCCTCTAGCCTCTACAGCCTGTGTCCTCTAGCCTCTACAGCCTGTGTCCTCTAGTCTCTACAGCCTGTGTCCTCTAGTCTCTACAGCCTGTGTCCTCTAGTCTCTACAGCCTGTGTCCTCTAGTCTCTACAGCCTGCGTCCTCTAGTCTCTACAGCCTGCGTCCTCTAGTCTCTACAGCCTGTGTCCTCTAGTCTCTACAGCCTGTGTCCTCTAGTCTCTACAGCCTGTGTCCTCTAGTCTCTACAGCCTGCGCCCTCTAGTCTCTACAGCCTGCGCCCTCTAGTCTCTACAGCCTGCGCCCTCTAGCCTCTACAGCCTGCGTCCTCTAGCCTCTACAGCCTGTGTCCTCTAGTCTCTACAGCCTGTGTCCTCTAGTCTCTACAGCCTGTGTCCTCTAGTCTCTACAGCCTGTGTCCTCTAGTCTCTACAGCCTGTGTCCTCTAGCCTCTACAGCCTGTGTCCTCTAGCCTCTACAGCCTGTGTCCTCTAGTCTCTACAGCCTGTGTCCTCTAGTCTCTACAGCCTGTGTCCTCTAGTCTCTACAGCCTGTGTCCTCTAGCCTCTACAGCCTGTGTCCTCTAGTCTCTACAGCCTGTGTCCTCTAGCCTCTACAGCCTGTGTCCTCTAGTCTCTACAGCCTGTGTCCTCTAGTCTCTACAGCCTGTGTCCTCTAGTCTCTACAGCCTGTGTCCTCTAGTCTCTACAGCCTGTGTCCTCTAGTCTCTACAGTCTGTGTCCTCTAGTCTCTACAGCCTGTGTCCTCTAGTCTCTACAGCCTGTGTCCTCTAGTCTCTACAGCCTGTGTCCTCTAGTCTCTACAGTCTGTGTCCTCTAGCCTCTACAGCCTGTGTCCTCTAGTCTCTACAGCCTGTGTCCTCTAGTCTCTACAGCCTGTGTCCTCTAGTCTCTACAGCCTGTGTCCTCTAGTCTCTACAGCCTGTGTCCTCTAGTCTCTACAGCCTGCGTCCTCTAGTCTCTACAGTCTGTGTCCTCTAGTCTCTACAGCCTGTGTCCTCTAGTCTCTACAGCCTGTGTCCTCTAGTCTCTACAGCCTGTGTCCTCTAGTCTCTACAGCCTGTGTCCTCTAGTCTCTACAGCCTGTGTCCTCTAGTCTCTACAGCCTGTGTCCTCTAGTCTCTACAGCCTGCGTCCTCTAGTCTCTACAGTCTGTGTCCTCTAGTCTCTACAGCCTGTGTCCTCTAGTCTCTACAGCCTGCGTCCTCTAGTCTCTACAGCCTGTGTCCTCTAGTCTCTACAGCCTGTGTCCTCTAGTCTCTACAGCCTGTGTCCTCTAGACTCTACAGCCTGTGTCCTCTAGTCTCTACAGCCTGTGTCCTCTAGTCTCTACAGCCTGTGTCCTCTAGTCTCTACAGCCTGTGTCCTCTAGTCTCTACAGCCTGTGTCCTCTAGTCTCTACAGTCTGTGTCCTCTAGTCTCTACAGCCTGTGTCCTCTAGTCTCTACAGCCTGTGTCCTCTAGCCTCTACAGCCTGTGTCCTCTAGTCTCTACAGCGCTGCTTAACACCAGGGCTTTGACTTCAAAATTCGAATATAATTCTAAAATAAAAAATGATGAACAAAATAATTGAATAAAAAAATTTGAACAAATATTAGACAACCCTTGTAATTCGAAATGTATTTAATGACTGCAAATAAAATAGTTAGCTCCCAAAGGTTTCACCGGGACGTGCTAGGCAGGTAACAGCTAAGCTAGCTAGTTGTTTCATGGTAACTTCCGGGTTTTTCGCAATCGCTTTTTGTCACGTTAAAACAGTATTTTTGTCATGAAAGCGTTAACAGCAAATTCTGAAATCATCCGTGCATGTGTATTAAGGATGTATATGTATACTGTACTGTCCGATTGACGTTTAATGGTGTTGATTGATAGATATGTAGTTGTTTATTGAGCGTGGCTAGCTCCGCTAGCTTCTCTACACAGACAAGTGTGCAGAGAAACTGCACAGTGCAGTGACAGGCGCTGATAGCTTGTTGTACTTGCAGAGTAATGGCAGTATTTTACACACCTGAATTACAGAGGTTGCATTGGGGCTTCGGTCATTATTGGTTTGAGAGTTCTGTTATCGAGAAAAAATGATCGGAAGAATTGCTGCTGCTGCTTTGAGGAGCTCTATAACAAATTATAATTAAATATTAGAATATATTCTAATGTTTAAATTAATACATTCGGACGCGAAACTAGCGGTATTCTTTTACTTATATATTGTGTTAGCAGTGCGTTGCTTTAGTGCCATTTCATCAGTGATTGTTGCACAGCTTACAAGAAGTTGCGCTAATGCTAATGTTAGCATATTTAACAGATCGCAAATAAAACTAGGTGGCTCCGTGTTATGAGAGCGTAGGGGAAATGAGAAGCCTGTGAGCGAGTTGGGGGCGGGGCTAAACATTCAAACATTGCAGAAACGGGTATAGCTCCTTTAAGATTAAACAGCCTGCCTTTAGCTGTGTTACACGTTTTTTATTTTTTATTTATTTTGTTACTCATGTACATATTGGTTTGGCATTAAAAATATATTCAACGGTTCTTTCTCTCTGTTGCTACAACCGGATACCACTCAAAAATACTGCATTGTATCTATGAAAGTCAGCAAAGTAAAGACCGGCCGCGGATGCTACGCAGGCTAATGCTAACGCATTTTCCTGAACACCCGTTAGAGCAATACATTTTAGCAAAATAGAGACTTCATAACTTCCTCTTGAGCAGTTACCACAACTCTACACGCCACGGAAAAAGAGAATTTTGACTCGGAATGAGTGATTTTTTTTCCTAAGTAGTTCATAAAAATGCTTATTACTACATACAAGTTGTATATAATCCGTAATTTAATTGAAAACTTGAGCTCATTGATTCAGCTGTGTATGAATTTAGGCCGTAAAAAGAGTAGAGACTTAGCGGGCCGCTAACTCTCCTCCACTCACAGAACAAGCAAACAACAGCCTGCGTCCTCTAGCCTCTACAGCGCTGGGCTTTGACTTCAAAATTCAAATATAATTCTAAAATTAAAAAAGATATAAATAATTGAACAAATATTAGACAGCCCTTATCAATCGAAATGTATATAATCACTGCAAATAAAATAGTTAGCTCCCAAAGGTTTCACCGGGACATGCTAGGCAGGTAACAGCTAATCTAGCTAGTTCAAAAACGACTCGAAACTACATGAAATTGATCAAAGAATTCTTAACATCAGCGTTGAGTTACCCATTTATGTACCGAACCTAAATCCATAATCAGATCCTCTTCAAATGTGTCCTAAAATGTTCGTTTCATGTTAACGGTTACTTCCGGGGTTATCAGTGTTTTTATCATGCAAACGTTAACTCATTGAGTGCCAACCACGTAATTTTACGTTCAGCGCCCCCATGCGTTGAGTGCCAAAACGTAATTTCTCGGAAATGCTTTTTTTTCAATTTTTTGAAAGTCGACATCCTGACACACATTGTGTGTAAATTTGGGAATGCTATGATTAATTTAACTGTTTATATAACGATCTAAAACTCATTAAACACTTAAACGTGTGTTATTTATAGTTCATAACGCAGCTTTGAGTGGTTGTCGCATCGCCTCATATAGTCTTCTTGGGCGGAGGTCCAAAAATATATTTATGTGGGTTTGTCACTAGGTGGCAGTCTTGATTCATCCTTTAGCGGAAACTTCACTGATACATTGTTTTGCCAGCTGCTGACAGAGATGGGGAGAAAAAGTCAAAAAAAGTCTGTGCGCTTTCGCCAAACAACGCTTGATGAGCGCTTTTTACAACACAGAAGTGAGCCAACTTTAGGCACTCGTACTCAGGAGGAAGGTGTTCAAGAGGGAGGCGCTGGGGAGGGAGGCGCTGGGGAGAGAGGCACTCAGAAAGCAGGTGTTCAGAATGAGCGATCACCACGGGCTGGTCCGAGCGGAGTAGTCAAAGATAGGAACCAACTGAGTCGCGAGTGTAAGCGGTCGCGCATTGATGCCACTGTCTGCGAAAAAGCAGACATGTCCGAGGAGGAGGAGGAGGAGGAGGAGGAGGAGGAATTATGGATCCCCTCCCGATCACCCGCAGCAGGTAAGATAATTTAAAATGTTGCCATAAATAAACTCTATCCCGCTGCTGATTGTACTAAACATTTTCTTTGTGATTCCAGACACTGACTCTGATTTCGGGGACGCGTCAGGAGAGGACGAGTCGAGGCCTACAACCCCTTCTAACTTCGGTAAGAACATGCATAAGTACAACTATGTATAAATATGTTTTACAATATAATGTGGGGTGTATGTGAATCATAGACTATGTGAATGTAGGTGTTCCACAAATACGTGGTGTTTCACAAGTGTGGGTGTGTGTATAATATATAATACGTGCGTGTGTATAATATACAATATGTGGGTGTGTGTATAATATATAATACGTGCGTGTGTATAATATACAATATGTGGGTGTGTGTATAATATATAATACGTGCGTGTGTATAATATACAATATGTGGGTGTGTGTATAATATATAATACGTGCGTGTGTGTATAATATACAATATGTGGGTGTGTATATAATATATCATTCGTGCATGTGTGTATAATATACAATATGTGGGTGTGTGTATAATATATAATACGTGCTTGTGTGTATAATATATAATACATGGGTGTGTGTATGATATATATAGGCTACATGCAACGGACAATGCATTGAATAAAACAACATACTCTACTTACTCTAGAATTGGGTGCAATACAAGAGCCTGACTTTGAAAGGATGGAACCAGTGAAGCCTTCAAAACAGAGGGGTGAGTCGACCACCTCAATCATACACATACACATATTTACATGATAATAATTATTTATCTTTATAAAGGTCGACAAATGGAAAGGGGTGCTCGTGCCAGTCGTGGACGTTCATCTAACCGGTCTGCATGTGGTAGCATGCAGACAGAATGGATGAAAGAGGACTGGTGTCCACGAGACATACCCTTCACTGCCACTCCAGGACCACGCGGTGCAGCTGCTCAACTGACATCTGACAAGCCCATAGATTTTGTGAACTTGTTCATAACAGATGCATTGCTGGAGACAATTGCTGAGCAAACCAACCTCTATGCTGAGCAAACCAGGATTGACTGAGGGGAGCAGAGTGCATTCTTGGAAGAATGTGACTGTGGAGGAGCTCAGGCGGTTTTTTGGTATTTTCTTTCTCACTGGCATTATCAAAAAGCCTTCCTTGGCTAGTTATTGGAGTACAGATGAACTACTCGTCACACCCTTCTTCTCCAAAACCATGCCACGAAACAGATTCCAACTTATTTGGAGGTTTTTACACTTTAGTGACAACCAGGCTATCGATGGCAGTGATAGGCTGTATAAAGTCAGGCCTGTGTTAGACCAGGTTTTGTCTAAGTTTGGTGAGCTTTACCAGCCCAACTGTGATATTTGTATTGATGAGGGCATGATGGCTTGGCGTGGACGCCTCACTTTCCGAGTTTACAACCCCCAGAAACCCATCAAATATGGAATAAAATCATACATAATCTGTGATTCAGACACTGGTTACTGTTTTGGGATGAAACCATATTGCGGGGAAGCGGGGAACCTGGGGGACACTGTAGTTACCCTCCTTGACCGGCTGGCTGGGCAGGGATACAAATTGTACATGGACAATTTTTACAACTCTGTAGCACTTGCTGACCGGCTCCTACAGTTAAAAACCCACATTTGTGGGACACTGAGAAAGAACAGGGGGGAACCACAGGCTATTACTAGCATTTCCAACTCTAATCTTGAGCCAGGGGAGGTCATTGCACTTCACAACAATGTGGTCATGGTCCTTGCATGGAGGGACAAGAAAATTGTAAAAATGATCACCAGCCACCACCAAGATGAGATGGAAACATCAGGGGTGTGGCGAAGGGGCCACAGGGAGAGGGTACCTGTCCAGAAGCCGACATGTGTAGTTGCATATAACAACTCCATGAACGGTGTTGACAAACTGGACCAGAATATTGCATACTACCCATGCATTCGAAAATCTGCAAAATGGACAAAGAAATTTGTCCTTTATTTGTTTCAGATATGCCTTTTCAATGCATTTATTCTGTACAAATGCCGAAACCCCCAAGGACAGCACAGGAAGCTTCTTACATTCATCCACAGTGTAGTGAACTCGCTGACTACCCGTCCATGTGCCATAACTGAGGAGGTAGTGGACATTGGAAGGCAGAGAGAGGTTGCTAGGGCCCCAAGTACAGACCCTGATAGTAGGCTGACTGGTGGCATTGGAGGTCACGTGATGGCAAAATTTAGTGCCACTCCCAAGAAGCAGAATCCAACCAGAATATGCAGGGTGTGTAAGATGAGTGGACGCAGAAGTGAAACAAGCTTCTACTGTACATCGTGCCGTGTTCCCCTTCACCTCAAAGAGTGTTTCACGCTGTACCACTCACAGAAAGATTTAGTTTTTCAAAGCATATAGATTGATTCGCTTGAAGCCCTTTCCTTTTTTTCTATCTTTTTATTTAATTTCTATTATATTACTATAAATAAACATTTGTAATATAATAGTACATTCATATTGTTGTTGCAATAAATTTTCATACGGATCAAATTTCATCTCCAGTGTAAAGGCGGTATAAATATGTGTTTGGATGGAATTAGTCCTTTAAAAATGTGTTTTTTTTGTAGTCTACCCTACTCCTATAAAATATCTATCTTATAAATGTACGTGGACCCAGAAATGTAAGTGTCAGAAGAACTACACCCTCAAAAAAATGATTTTTCATAAAAGGGTCTCTATCTCCTTTTCTAAGAAATTCACAAGGATTTTCATGAAAGTTTCCCATCTTTTGCTTAGGATATCTCAGGAGCAAAAGCCGGTAGAAACGAAAGGTTTTCACCATCTGAAAGTTTAAAGCCTCACCTTTCAAACGCAGTATAGCATATGATTATGACAATAACACAGAATATGCTGTGGCTCTGCAAATATCAGGAAAAATTGACAAAATGGCTGGCATTCTAGACCCAAGCTGTTTAAACCAGGCTGGCACTCAATGAGTTAACAAGAAATTTTGAAAACGTCCGTGCATGTGTGTTAAGGATGTATATGTATTTTTCCTCAGATTAACATTTAAAGGTGTTGATTGATTGATATGTATTTGTTTATTGAGCGTGGCTAGGTCCTCTAACTTCTCTGCACAGACACAAGTAGTTAGCGACAGACGCTGAAAGCTCGTACTTGCGGAGTAATGTTACTATTTTACACACCTGAATTACAAACAGAGATTGCGTTGCCAAAGGGCAGCAGTCATTATTGGTTTGAGAGTTCTGTTATCGAGAAAAAATTATCGGTAGAACATTTTGAAATTACGTTCTAGTCAATGGAGTGTTCTACTGCTGCTGTGAGGAGCCGTATAATAATTTATAATTAAATACTACAATATATTCGAATGTTTAACTTAATACATTCGGACGCAAAACAAGCGGTATTCTTGTACCTATATATTGTGTTAGCAGTGCGTTGCTTTTGTACCATTTCATCAGTGATTGTTGTACAGCTTACAAGATGTTGCGCTAATGCTAACGTAAGCATACATGTCAGATCGCAAATTAAGATGGCTCCGTGGGATGAGAGCACGGTGGAAATGAGAAGTCTATGAGCGAGTTGGGGGCGGTGCTAAACAATCAAATCTTGTAGAAACGGGTTTAGCGCCTTAAATGGTCAGCACTAGATCATATACGGAAGCGGAAGTAAAAATAACAAACTACCTATTCATGCCTGAACTTAACCAGCCATTCCCATAAAATAACCCCAACCCAGCCTTAACCCTAAACTTAACCCTCTTACTTAAACACCTAAAACTTAACCAGTCACCACTTAAGGACGAATTAGTCTAAAATTAATTTGAAAGTAGGATTGTTACTTCCGGTTTCGTCCCGAATCCGTATATGATCTAGTGCCGACCCGCCTTTAATGGGGAGATTTAGTTCCTGTCCCAAGGAGCACTATCGAGCTGCTGCGTGACGTCACGTGCAACCCAGCAATTCATAGGCTTAGAATTGAACTAAAGTGTCCATGGGAGGAGTTCTCTCCGTGTCAGTGGGCCATCTTGAAAAACAGCGGTGGATAAGGGGCAAAAAGGATGAACCATGGAGGACCACAGTTATATAAAAGAACCATGGAGGACCACAGTTATATAAAAGAACCATGGAGGACCACAGTTATATAAAAGAACCATGGAGGACCACAGTTATATAGAAGAACCATGGAGGACCACAGTTATGTTAAAGAACCATGGAGGACCAGTTATATAAAAGAACCATGGAGGACCACAGTTAAAAGAACCACGGAGGACCACAGTTATGTAAAAGAACCATGGAGAACACAGTTATGTAAAAGAAAAGACCAATCAGAAAGGAAGGGGGAGGAGCTTGGGTCGTTTTCCCCCCCAAATCATGTACTGTTGAGGAAAAGAAATAAACCCTAGTTTAGTTTCCTCTCACCCGGGTTCGTTGTTGTAAGCGCTGTACAATTAGTCAGAAGGAGAAAAATGTTAAAGCGCCAGCAGCATTTATTGTAGATCACATAAAGTTGCTTAACCATGGGACTAATACAGAGTTCAACCGAGTAGTCTTCCTCAATCTTAGCTGCTGTGGAAAATTAACCTCAAAGAGACAGGATCGATGCACCGTTGCCAGGAAGTTTTATTCAGTTAACCTTCAGGTTTTCAGTTTTTTCAGACAGAACCAAGTGAGGACATGGTTTTTATAGTCATTTGTTACATTACTCTTAGAAAGGCATATTTGTCACATCCTGAGACAATCAGAACATACTCTGACAGAGTCAGAACATGGATACACAATAGGACCCTGCGACTGTGAGGGCCAAATATTTTGTCTTGCGTTTGTCCACCTGCGTAGGCTAAGGTTATCTATCCACCATACTGCTAATACTAAGTTTGCACTAACAGATTTTAGGTGCTGGCCCCAGGGGCGGACCTTTCCCGAATCAGTAGCTGTGCTTCTGTTCTTCAGTGCCAAAAGTGGGCAGCTTCCCACGTTGAGTAATTTCTGCATAACTAATGTGAGGACTATTGTGTTGCAAAGTAGCAACACCATGTCCTCGGAAGATGTTTTATTTCGGCTCTGCTGTTAACTTCCCATAAAGGGAATATTGTTCTCCAAAACTGTATCAAAATAAGAGAATCAAACTTGAATTACTGTAAGCATTTGTGTGCCTAATATCCTGACAATACCTCTCTCTCTCTTTTATTTTGTCCAGACTATCACTCTAAGTACTTAAAACTTCCCAACCACATCTGGAAATGTAATTTTAAAATCCCTATACAGAAAACATAGACGGACTGAACCAGGAAGTGCACCGTGCAGTAACCAATATGGTGGTTCCTGCAACACCGGTGACTTAGCCAAGAGACCTTATACCAAAGACTTAACCAGTCCCTCCCCAACGCCTAAGACCAAACCATTTAGAACCAAGGACCCAAACTTAATCAGGAAGTACACCATGCGGTGGCCTGTATGGTGACTATAGGGACGTCCGTCTGACGTCAGGCCATTTCGAGCAGCCATCTTGACGGAATAGAAAATGCAAAACTGCTGGTGATACTACGGGTCGTTGCAAATTTTTCCTAGTAGGGCTTTGACTTTTGCACAAAAATCATATTTGAAGTTCATTTGTTTATTAATTTAAATATTTGAGTATTGAATTATAATTTATTAAACGGCTCCTCAAAGCTAGCTGTTACTTCTGTCTGTGCAGAGGAGCTAGCTGAGGTAGTCACTCTCAATAAACAAATACCTATCAATCAATCAACACCATTAAATGTTAATCGGAGAATGAATAATCGTGTATATATATCTTTTTCTGATGCTATTAAGTGCAATGACATGACGTGAAGTGATGTGTTGGCTGACGACTGCAAATGAGCTAATTACAGATCCATTGCTGCGGAGTTGGCGGACGGATTGCGTCAAAATGGCTGACACGCAGCTATGGGTCGTGTGACTGGGAGATCCCTATACCAACACGTTGACTGGACATACCACATAACCTATCCCGACACCTAAACTTAACCAGGAAGAAGACCTAAACAGAAGATACACCGTTTTCAAATTAAAATTCATAGACCATTTAATAAGACCGCTAAGAACAAATTAGATAAGCTCAAAAGGACTAATTCATATGAACACCTTTCTCCTAATAAGAATTTAAAATTAGGATAAATTAGGGCTATCAGACAATTAATAATCTTAATCGACTTAAATACAGCTTAAAAATTAATTAATGGGTGGTATTAATGGTAATTAAGGGGTGAATTTTTTTGGACCACTCTAGTTTACTTGCTGTGAATTTTGAAGTCACTCGTTCAAATGAATGGAGCTCTCGCCGGCTGACGCATGCGCAGACGTGTTTTTTTCACATTTTTCTTGTGGGCGGGACCCCTCGCGGCCATTTTGGATTGCTCCAGCAGAGCACATTTTTTGGCCCATTAGTTAGAACGGCGGAGATAGGCGTTATTCTGTCCGTTAATATATACAGTCTATGATCCGGAGAGATATCACCCAATGTGTGCGCTCCATGGCGCGCGCCAACAACAACATGTGTGTATTGCGCCCTCTACAGTTTATGTCAGAAAACACACTAGTTGACGGCCAGTTGCTGTCGATGTACGCACTGTTATTCCTGAGACTGGCCTGATACAGGAGTTGAACTTTTTTGCCAGATTGTCAATGTGTGCGGGGCAGCAACTAATATGCGACGGATATAATCAGTTGCCAGTCCGATGTACGCTAGGCATTAGCTTCAGCTACCGGATGCACCATCCATACTCTATTTTGCTTTCAGAAAAATCGCTCCAAAATCTTTTCATACTCACGCTCTGATCATGGCGAGGTTGTCCAGGAACGTCCAGTCCCAGACCCGCTGAGTCTGGATGTCCCTGGTGCAAATTAGAAAGGCCTCAAAACAGTTTGCCCTGGTAGACGCTGATGCAGTTTTGTTGCACTTTCTCCTTTGCAGTAGCTCGGAACACATCATTAGTGTACTCCCCCATGTTGTCCTCTGCAAGTACAAAGTAAAACATTTTGTTCATTTACTAGGATCTCAAGGACACGACAACAGTGTCCACAAGCAGGACCATGAACACGTCTCTACTTACGGACGCTCTTGGGAAATTTGAAGTTGGAAGTACTGCCCTCTTTCTGTCCATAAAAATGCCAACGAGGGCAGGGTGGACCGGCATAGTGCGTTCCTCCTAATGATGAAACATAAGTTCAGAATCCCAGCGGGAAGAGTCAAATTACCTTTGTCAAAGACATTTTTACTCTTTTATACTTCTTTTTTTTCGCTTTTGTCCGCAGCGATGAGGGCCACATTTTGGCGGATGTTCTCCAGATCCTGTTTTGTGATATCCTCCATTTTGTCCTCCTCTTCCTTTTTCTCTTTCCCTTTCTGGACCTCCTCCTCCTGGACCTGCTCCTCCTCCTCCTGGACCTGCTCTCCCTCCATCTCCTCATCCAATTGCAAAGCTGCAAGTCCAAAGAAAGATAACTGCAGTAGTAGTATTAGTAGTCAGGAAATATAAAAATTGTTAAAGCAATTACTAGGTGAACTCACAATGATGCTCGGGGTTTTGGGTGGCGCCCGACTCCTCCCCTGGCGGGTTGAGGGTCCCGCCTCTTCTGCCCTGGCGCCCCTGAGCTCCGCCACTTCCCTCTTGTGGAAAGAATTCAGAAACAGGTAGAAATATGGATAGATAGGAAGTCAGATAAAAAGAACTAAAATATTTTACCTTCAGACTCTCGACCTCGGCGCGGAGGTCCTCCACCAATTCGGCCCTCCTCACACAGGCGGGCCCGCCCGCACTCATCCTCCTCCTGGTGAAGGTCTAGTTGCGAGACCATCGGGGGGTCCGGGTTGGATGCCCTCTGTAGGAGCCACATATTAGCTTTTTCTATTTTAGTATCTACACGGCTGAGGGCTCACGCACTGTCCTAGTTTGTCCACTGGGTGGCAGTTTAGAGTGGTGTCTCTCAATTAGGCTGCACCTGTGTTGGGCTTAAGAGGGGCATGTGCACACCTGTGGGATTAGGCATCATGGCAGGGTGAGCACGGGCTGCTACTTTCTGTTGACCGTAAGCAACATTCTGTACATCCATCATCATCCGGAAGGGCAACTGAGTCAACTCCACGAAACATCAAGTAAGTCCCTATCTGCATACGAATGAATCTACGCGTCAGCAACAAAGCCCGTGTCTTAGCCTGCCGCGGCGTATTGCCTCAGTTTGGACATTTTACGCCGCATTATTTTGTCAACAGAAAGTATTTTCATGCGAGGATTCATCGTATTGTCATTTAACCCTTTTTTAACGCTTTCGGATCGCGTTGAAAGTTTGGAATGATAGACGTGAACGCGCATTGGAGATGTCTCTTTCATTCACAAACTTGTTCGTAATGGATTAACACAGTTGCTTCGTGAGGTACTGCAAGTGTTTGGTTCGCATTGACTGTTATATTCCCCGGTTAGGCTCAGTGGCGTTTCACACAAGGTGGAGCGCTATTTTTGTTGTTTTGTAGGGTCGCTCGTGCGTCAAGCGGGTAAAGCATTTGCTTGGGAGTATCGCCGTAGATCTGATCTGGGCTCTGCTCAGCGTCAGTCTATCGGTGTATCCGAGGTACATAAGACCCCATCGCTAGTACGCACAGAAGACTAGGGTTGAGTCTAGTTTAGTGCCAACAGAGAGATTAGGAGGAATGAGAAGACCGCTTGCAGTACATTGTTCAAGTGTTTTGGAAAATTAAAGCCACTGTGTGTAATTTTGGAGTTTTTTCCTGGATATTGGATTTTTTTGTGTGAATGAACAATGGAGTCAAATGAATCCGCTAAGAGGCCAATAAAGCTTACGGAAAAGGCTTTTGAACAGAAGCTGGAAAGGCTTCAGGATGAGAGAAAAGCCAAAGTCAAAAGAATGAAGACTACAATGAGAGACATATCTGAGTTAAAGAAAAATATTGAAAATGTTGAAATGGTGCGTTCTTGTCTGGAAACTGTGTCCGGTTTGTACAGTGAGGCCTGTCAGCTGCATGATAATGTGATTCCTATGCTTCCACCAGAGGAACAAAAAAGGCAAAATGAATGGTTTGAAAGTGTCACGGAGCTTAAAACCAGTTTTGCGGAAGAAACTAATAAGTGGTTGTTGGAGTTGCCTGGTGTTGTCGATGTGTTTCCTGCAGAGGGCGCTGTTGTGTTTCGAACTCGTACTGTGGAAACTGCTGTTTTAAGTGGCAGCATTACAAATGAGATGACACGTGTAAATAATGTAGTTGAGACTGTGGAACCGAGTGACAGTGTTTCAAACACTTCCAATAAATCTAAAAGGCGTAGTACAGTAGTGAGCAGGTCTGTGTCGACAACTTCCTCTGCCAGGTTACAAGCAGAGGCAGAGACAGCAGCTCTTATGGCCCGTCAGAAACTTCTCAAAGAGAGACATGTTATAGAAGCACAGCAGGACGAGCTGCGAAGGAAAATGGAGGAGCAGCAGGATTTATTGAGGAGAAAGAAAGAGGCCCTTGACTTAGACATGGAGCTGGCTGCGTCCATGGCCAAAGTAAATGTATTAAAGGCCTCAGAAGGATCTCATGTGTCCGCTAAATCTGATGGGAAAAGATCTTGTATGGGAGAACCCAAGGCCGTTAGTTTAAATGCAAAAGCTAGTTCATTTGTGCCATTTGTTCATTTGCTAGTTCATTTGTGTCGTTAACGCATGGAATGCTCCATCTATCAGTGCTGCAGTAAGGTCTAAGAGTATTAACCGGAACTCTGTCGTTATTGGGACCGGTTTACCAGTTATGATCCCATCTAGTGGTGCGGCGTGTCAGGCTGCTCCGCAGTCTTATTCTGAACCCCCGCCACAGATGACAGAGAATGCCTCGGATAAACGTTTTCTTACAGTTTTGGAAAAACAGAATGAAATTACATCATTATTGGTTGAACAACAGTCAATGTTTCTTTTGCCTAAACGAGATGTGCATGTGTTTGATGGAGATCCACTGCAATATCAGACGTTCATTAGAGCCTTCAAACATAACATAGAAGCTAGAACTCAAAGTCAGAGAGATTGTTTGTATTACCTTGAGCAGTACACTAGAGGTCAGCCGAGGGACTTGGTTAGAAGTTGCCTATATCTACCTCCTGCACATGGTTACATGCAAGCAAAGGCTTTACTTAAAGAGCATTTTGGAGATTCTTTTAAGGTAGCATCTGCATACATGGGCAAGGTCCTTTCATGGCCCATAGTGAAAGGCGAAGACCTTAAAGGGCTTCAGGCCTACAGTTTGTTGCTGCGTGAATGCTGCAATTCCATGGGTGATTGTGTGGGTGATTTGAATGCTCCCACCAACATGCAGACTATTGTAAAGAAGCTGCCCTATAAGCTTAGGGACCGTTGGAGAGATGCGGCTTGTGATCTGCAAGAACGGTTTAATCGCAGAGCCAATTTTCATGATGTCGTGTATTTTGTTGAGAAGCAAGTTAAGATAGCAAGTGACCCTTTGTTTGGAGACATTCAGGACTCTCCAGGACCTGTAAGAAAGGAGTTTAAATATGTTAAGTCTGGTACTAAACCTAAAGGTAGTTTTGCCACTACAATAGCACCTGTAGAGAATAGGGTTGCGCCTGTCCATAAGGGAGAGAAGAACTTTACTTTGAACGTGTGTTTGTTTTGTGGGGCTGGTCATGCTTTGGATGTTTGCCTTCTATTGGATAAGAAGACGCGAGAAGAGAAGTTGTCTTTTTTGAAGGAAAACAATTTGTGCTTTGGTTGTCTGTGCATTGGGCACAGGAGTAAAGATTGTAGGAAACGTCTGTCATGCAGAGTTTGCAATCTTAAGCACGCAACGTTATTGCATTTCCACTCCAAAAGTAGTTCTTCACAGGCTGGTATTGGCACAAACAGGGCCAGCCAAGGTGCTGTAGTGGCTGTTCAATCTAGTGGGTTAACAGGGGCCGGCAAGCAGGACTGTGCGTTGTCAATCCTGCCTGTTCGAGTGAAGTCCAAGCGAGGACATGAGACCCTGCTAACGTATGCGTTTTTAGACCCCGGTAGTACTGCTACGTTTTGTACAGAGAGACTCATGAATAGGCTTAATCTTACAGGAAGGAAGATGGGAATTCTTTTTCGAACAATGGGGCAAGAGAAGTTGGTGGACAGCTACCTGTTGTCTGACATAGAAGTATCTGACATAGCAGCTAGTGGCGGCAGTAGCTCAGTTGGTAGAGCGTTGGCCTTTGAGCCAGAAGGTCGTGGGTTCAAGCCCCGCTCAAGACTTTCACCATCGACTCCCACTGACTACTGTCGTTGTGTCCTTGGCAAGACACTTAACCTCTGGGAACACCAGCCACAGTGGGGCGGCTGCGGCTGTAAAGTGCCAAACTAGGGATGTAAATCGGCGACCGGTTAACCGGTGGTTGACCGTCACAGCGTTAACCGGTCAAAGCTGTCGGTTAAAAAAGAGAAAAAGGGGAGAGGGGAGGTCTCTTAATAACGCTTTTTCAAGCCCTATTTGCACGGTGTGACGAGCGGGTCTGTATCTAGCTGTGTGCGCCCATGTATTATAAACTCCGGGACGACTCTCACGCCGCACGAGCCACATATGCACACACGCACGCACGCGCACACACACACACACACACTTTCCCCCTCTCCATACGTAACATCCACACGCATCATCTCTCCCCTCTGTTACCGCCAAAGTTGGACACTGGCGCGGGTCAGAACTACATTGGAGCTTACATTTACTTACACACACACACACACATATACATACACACACACATACATACACACACATACATACACACACACATACCGGTCTGTCGCGCTCCTCTGTGTCACGGAGCCCAAAGGATTCGCGCAAATACGCAGCTCCAGTCAAACCATATGGACCATGTTTGTGTTTATGGTCCTCGGGATCAGCTCCACACACATTACTTGTATTTAAACTTTTGTGAAGACCTGTGAGACGCGTCACTCGCTGCTCTGACCATGTGAACGAGCCGTCGTTTGCTGCTAGAAAGTTTTGGTATTAACCCGCAGCACAGCAGAATGGGAAGATTAAAAAAGCAGTTCTCTGTGCGCAAAGGTGCCGGAGCTGTTGCGGGTTTGGGCGCCGCTGTCTCAGCTCTGATCCAGTAGAACGCAGAGCTGCTCTTATGAAAAGTACGCGGCTCGAAATGGCTGTTATTTCAAAGAACGTGGACTATTTTAAACTACGCGGTTAACCGGTTTCAACTGGTTAATGAGGCTCGGTGGTCGGTCATGAAAATTCATAGTTTTTTACATCCCTATGCCAAACTGCCGTTGTGTCCTTTTTTTTTATACTTTATTTTTGAGTTTTTGCCTTTACAACTTAAGGTGATTGTCATAAAAAACAAAAAACCTCCCAAGGCAACATTTATAGTGCAGAGAAAAAAATAAAAATAAATAAATAAATAAATAAATAAAATAATAATAATAATAATAAAAAAAAAAAAAACCTAAAACAATACAAATTACATACAACTATTAATAATCATAATAATACTACACATAAAACAAAATAGTAATAATATAATAAAAAACAATAATAGTACAATAAAAGAGAGAAAAAAAGTGTTTTAAATATTTATATATACGCATACATATGCACACTCATTTACATATATGTATGTATACACCTATATACACACATATACCCCCCAACACATATGCTCATACACATATACCTATATTCATGCATACATGCACTTCATTATATATCTCCTTCATGCACATGCATGAAGCAGTGCGCACACCCTCAAAACAAATTTGCCTCAGCTTCATTCTCCCATTGTCTTATTCATACATTATATGCATTTACATACGTTTCATCATAATTAAAATAAAAATAAAAGTAAAAAATGAGTTAATGAGGAGTTCCATTGACTTCATCAGTACATCAATCTTTAAGAGAAAGCATTAATGAGATAAGAAAAAAAAAATAATAATTTGTGTATATGTATATATACCTCCATACACATACACATACATACCCATGCATGCATACATACACACAATATGCACATATATATATACACACACATACCCATAAACATACATATATATACACATATACATACATACACACC